CACTCCTCCCAGCTTTGTATCATCAGCAAAAGAGGTATCACTTCCTTTCCTAAGCATTTAGGACAGATCTTTTCAGTATATGCTCAGCAGTGGATTTCTCATTGGAATGCTTGAAAACAAATTGTACTGGATGAGGTAGTGAGAGGGCAGCTGGGTGGGCAGCTGGCAGCTGGCCAACGTCATCTCAATGCACAACTCCTGCAGCATCTCATGTAGTGTAAATTTGTGGAGAAGCTCACACATGATGTTGATGATGAAATAGATCTAAAGTCAAAAAGTACTGCCAGACTATTCTTGAGCCAACTTTTGAGAATCAGAAAATTCACTCGCAGAGCCCTGAGATACTTAATTAGATGAAAATGTTCTGCCTGCTTTTTGAGAGAGTAGCATCTTCAGTTTTCTCTGAACCTTTAAGATCATAAAGCCCCTCAAATTGCTTCTTAATCAAAGGATATTTTACAATAGTGACATCTAATTACTAGTACCTATTAGATTCTGATTTCAAAAGCTTATTTGGGAATGGAAAACATGGAATCTACCATTCACACTCTGGGTAAGGAAAGGCTTAGGAGGGGACATTATTCAGACTTGGAGTGGGGAAAAGGACATGACAGAGGCATTACCTGTTTCTGAGTAAATGACTTGTTTTGAGGTTAGGTTGCATTTAGTTGCTTTGAAATGCACAGGAATACAAAAGGAAAATGTTTGTCAGAAGAGTAGTATTTCTAGGCAATGGAATTCCCTTGTTCTACTTTTTCTTTTGAGTTGGAGTTTTCAGTGGGGACAGGGATGGGGCTAATCTTAAAAAAAATGCTGGTTTGAAGCATTTTAAACATGTGCGTTTTGATTTACAAATCCCAGGCAGTTTTAAGGGTGAGATGGATCCTCTAGTCAGATGAAACATACCTATTTTGCAATGACAGACAGCGATCAGGGCACTGATGTTCATATACATAAGCACACACAATTCCTGCTTTGCATCTGACGAGGAGTTTCTTAAAAGTGGTTTTTGTAGTTCCCAGATATGTGGTGTTTGGAGGCGGTCACTGAAGGTTATGCTTTCCTCTGATAACATTGTTCCTTCCCAAGCAGGAAACTCTGGTTGGTTGGTTGATGTTTCTTTGTTTTGGGGAATGAGAAGATAGATTAGTTTGCTACAGGTCTTTCTACTTTGTGTGCCACTTTCCTCCAAGTATTGACTGAAATGGAAGGGAAAATGTGGTGTCCCTTCCTCATTATCTTTATGGTTTGTCTTGAGGATTCCCTTAGCCACTCTGCTAACATCTTTTATGGGTTCAGCTCTGAGTAAAAGCCTTTGAGTTACACAATGGAGAAGGAATAGCTGGTGTTTCTAGTTTTGTTTTTTTCTTTAGCAAAAAGAGCATACCGATCCAACCAAACTTCTCTGATCAGGATCCCCTGACTATTTTTTTGTTTTTAATCCTTTTCCTCTTTGTTTTTGTAGTGTCTGTGTATAAAAACCCCTTTTAAAATCTTTCATTTCACCTCACATCAAATTTTTGCATCCGCGCATTTGAGATGAGATGCATTTTCATAAAAGAAATAAAATAGTATTTCCCAAAAGCTCAAGTAGTTCTTATTTGCCTGAGATGTTCTTCACAAGTTATTTTAAAATTGCATCTGAATACAGACACTTCCCTTTTCAGTTCTCTTCCTATTTCAGTCAGAGAAAGAGAGAGATTCATTCTAGCCTGGGCTTTTTGTTGTGCTTCTTATTAATATTTTTTTTTCTTCTTAAGACAACTTTATTCTTGTCTAAGTGAGCTTCCTTTTCCATCTGGGAGTTAGCCAGTAGTGAGGTTATCATGCCTGGTAAGGAGCAAAGCTTGTTCCATTACATTACTTGCTCTCCTTTTGGTCAAAAGAAACATGAGTTGGCAGAGACCCTCAGAATAGGCAAAAAACATGCCAGTTTGCATGTAGTCTTCCACATAAAAAATAATTCCCTCCTGTCTGGTCCTAAACTGTGTATTTTTGTGTTGGTTTCTCCATGGATGGGACAGAGTGTGCACCTTAGCAAGTGAGTATGGACTACATACCTGTATGGTTGTGAGAGATCATTTACAGACTAATCATTTATTCACTGTTTTTTGTACCTTCACACTATAGATTTCCAACGTGGGTCTTAGCCTTAAAGAAACAAGTCCCAGACAACCAGACAGCATGATCAAAAAGATTTTTCAGCAAAAGTGTATAAATACTTTTTTAAAAGTAAAAATGCAAGCTTGAGTAACTTCATGTTACATTTACATTTCCGTTACAAAAACTTCAGTTACGTTTAGACCTAATTTTGAAGTTTTGATACATTTCACCGCTTGAGGCATAAGATAATAATTACACCCTCACAGTCTCTGAAAATTGCCAAGAGTTTCTCAGATTTTCTCTTGATATCATTAAAGCAGAAATAACATTTTTTTCTGAATTTTGTTTGCTATGGCAAGGAGAGAATTGTCTTTTGGTTAATGCTACTTCTGTCTTCTAGCAAGGTGGGTGTTAGTCTCTTTTCCCTTGTAACAAGTGATAGAACGAGAGGAAGTGACCTCAAGTTGTACTATGGGAGGTTTAGATTGGATATTTGGGAAAATTTATTACCAAAAGGGTTGTCAAGCATTGGAACCGGCTGCCCAGGGAGGTGGTTGAGTCACCATCTCTGGAGGTAATTAAAAGATGTGTAGATGTCGCACTTGAGGACAAGGTTTAGTGGTGGACTTGGCAGTGTTAGGTTTATGGTTGGACTCGATGATCTTAAAAGGTCTTTTCCAACCTAAATGGCTTGATTCTATGATCTTTGAGAAGTCACTAAGGCTTCAGGAATGTTCAAAACAGGAGTTATTTATACTTCACCAACTAGACTGCTGTAGTGCTTGCTGTGCGACTTTTTTTTTTGCTGGAGAGAACACCACTTTCTCCTTGGCAGCAGTTTCATAGCTGAAGTCCAGTGTTTGCTGCACTACTGAAAACACTGTTGTTTCCATTGGTTGATAATATTGGGCCAAATTATTATTCCTAGGAGGCTTGAACTTCATGTGGGTCCAAGGTGGTCAGTTTATTAGTTTTCTCCTCTAAATTAGGAGGAGAAATAAACAGGAAACAATAACATATCAGTGGAACTAGGGGGACGGGAGCAGTGCTTTCAGCCAGCCATGGATAGTGTCCAACTGATGATGCTGGTTCTTCTATCATTCTCTCTATGGGTTGTTACCATGTTAGATTCTTAGGAGAGCTCCCAGCTAGAGCTGCAGGTGAAAAGGTGTTGGGACTGCAGATGCCACCCTTGGTTTCCTCTATCTAGCTATGACCTATGGATGAGTGTTTCTCAGAGGCCAGCACTTAAGCTGTTCAAGAATAATCTGTGAACTTCAAAGAAGGTTGTGACGGGGGAAAGGAGACAGATTCTTAGCTGAAGACCTCAGTTTGCTTCTTCAAGTTGCTCCTATGCTGTTCCACAGTCCTGGAGATGTTGGTGAAAGCTGAGAGCAGTTTGAATGTTACTTAAACTGAAAACACAGGAGTCTCAAAGGCAGATACTGAGCCTTTCCCTGGACACTGGCATAGCAGCAGTAAATTGGGTTTACTAATGTGCTGAAGTCATCACAAGTCTTCCAAGGCACAAGATGTTTTATGGGAGATGACACAAAGTGAGTGCAAAGTGACTTCACCAGTGGCTAGGGGATAGCAGAGGGATTACCAGAGCTCATGACACTAGAAGTTGTTGAAAAGATATATCAAAGGGGAGCGATCTGGCTTGAATACAGCAAAAGCATCACAAGTAATCAGAGATCTAAAGGGGCCAGTTCCCTGAGCTTTTGGAGCCTTAGTGCTTTGACCTAACTTATTGATGTCACACAGAAATACAAGTTACATGTTCTTGTGGCCTGAAATTAAATAGAAGCAGCAGATACTGAGCACCTGGATGCGAAGCTGGCTGCTTAGCCAGAAAAGGATGCTGGCTGCTAAGTGTATCCTCTGGGCAAGTACCATTAGATTTCACTGCGTCTGGCAGGGGAGTGGTACCTACTTCTTTGGTGAAAAGTGATGGATGTGAACATTGAGTAGTTGCTTTGCACTAAAAAAGCCACAACAGAGATTATATTTTGTAATGCAGTTTTAAAGCACATGTTTGCAAAGTAGCATGCATGCTTGATTTTTAGTGCAGCTGCGGAGTTGTGAATAAATAGCAGTAACTGAAAACTTGGCTCAAGCATTTTATTGGATAATTGTCATCTTTCAAAAATAACTGACTCATGGGGCAATTTTCCTAAGGTTTTTTTGCACCTACTTGATGACTGAATGGTGTCTCTTGAATTAGTTAAGGGGAATAAAAAACCAAACCAACCCTCTTCAGCTTCATTGCTTCTCGAAGGCAGAGGGCTCTGCTGGAGGTGGTTCAGACAATTTCATTCGTACAGTCTGCTAAGACTGCAGCTTCTTTCCATGTCTTAAAATCCACCTCCAATCTGCTCTGCTGCTGCTGTTTCTTCTTACAGGAGGTGTGTTACCCATGCAGAGCTCTTGTCTTGACTACCCTTCCCCTTCACCCTGTGCCTGATCCTGCAGCAAAGCCAGATGTTCTGCTAATTCTCATAGTTTCTGTTTGAGGACAAGTGCTCCTCGAAAAACCAGGGGCATATGTTTTCTGTGGTTTACATGAGTGTTTAAGTAGTTACTCTTGACAAAGAGCGTATTGTGTCTAATCGGTGATCCAGGGCACTTGTTTAAACTGTTTAAAAATGGCACAAATAAATAATAATAATAGTAATAATAATTTTTAAAAAATAGAAGAAAGTTTTTAAAAGCATAAATTGTAAAAAGCTAGAAATATTCAATGCTACATATCAGACTTCCTGTTCTTATGTTGATTCCGATGAGGCATTTATGCAACTCTAAAGCATATTTACATATTTAGTATGGGGTGGCAGCGATCCATACATTACGTGTTTCATTGTCTCGTTTCTTCTTTCTAGATGCTGAGTATTGCACTTTCAACATATGTTGTGAGCAGTACGCATGACAGTCTTAAGAACAAACAGGGATTGCCTGTACTGAATCAAACTATTAGCTGGATGACTCTAGGTAAGAACATCCTCTCTCCCAAACTTACATGCTGATGGTTTTTGGGACTTGGTGTTGGGCGAGGGGCAGTGACACTTTTTAATTAACACCTTACTTTTGCACATATTCCTTTATTTAACTCCTGATAGTTCTTCCCATTGTTCACTATTCTTACCTAAGTGCTGTTTTTTGAGGAATGTGTTAGAAAGTCTTCTAAAATATTATTCCTCTGTAGGTTTGTAATAAAATGCAAAGAACTTTGATTTACAAGTAGCTTTGTCTTTTGTTTTGAATAGTCTGACTATCTTGCAAGACCCCTTTTAGGGACATAATGGTATAAATTCCCTTTTTGTATCACTTGGAGCCAGATAAGGTGATCTGAGATCTTCTGCAAGCAATCCAGTTAAGCTTAGGGAAGTGAGGAAAGGTTATTGCTGTATTTTAATAGAAACTTGAAGTTGCAGCTAATTGTGGAGACCCTTGGGGTATGGAAGTGCTTTTCGGAACTGCTTTGCAAAATACCTCTGAACTAATGATGCTAATGTATGTTTGATATCTGTTAGAACCTAATTGTTAAAGAAAAAAAATTACAAGTCTATGGATTTTTCACCACTCTAAAATTAAAATCTTAGGGTGATTACACAGAGCAAATGTTATTATCACTGGGGTTGCAGAATACAGCAATACCTTTAATATTTCAGCAATAAAATAATTTCTGTAGGGCTCCATTAGAAAATGTTAAGCATTGTTTAACTGAGGTTTGTTTTAGAGCTAAACATATCCCATGCAAAGTTTGATAGCTCTTTGCTAAAAGCTAAGACTAGGATTTTATACATAGCTTAATGGAAGAATTATGACTCTTGTTATCTAGTTGCTGGATGTCTTGTACATTTCTATACTGGTGACATTGTTTAGACTTGAGCAGATCTTTTCAGTTTTTTAGCAATCCTGCTTCTGTTTGGGCAAATGGATTCAAGATTATACAACTGATTGTGATCAGTGTGTGTGAGACCAACGCTTTCTTTGTAATATAGTTTTCTCTGGAGCATTTTCCTTTCCATCATCCTTTCCTAACTCTTTGTAGCCTGCTAAGCTAAGTGGGCAGGGATCTCTGTGTGGATGAATTCCTTGCAGTTGTAAAGTTGATGAAATCAGTGACGTAAGGGTGAGAGAAAAACATTTTTCATCTAAGAGATTATTTGGGTAGTCAGAGAGGTCTAGAGTTGTGAGGAAAGAGTATATTAGAAATTCTTTTTGCCATGGGTGATGTTTCTATGATAAAAATAAAGCTAACAGTGAAGTAAACTGTATGTACCCAAAAAGTCTACTCGCTGCCACGGTAGTACTGCATATTTTAGCAAAGTCTTCCAGGCTGGAAGTAATCATTTTAAGTGAATATTATATACAAGGTAGGAGCTTTATGTACTTGATGAAGTTCCTCTGCATAATTAAACGCAGAAATAAGCAGGTAAAAAGTGAAGGCATCCAACAACATGTCCTCAAAACTCCTGTTGGAGAGAAATGCCTTGTCACTAGCATAACTGCAGCTAACATCTGCCTTGTCACTAGTGTGTACCACAAATGTGACACCATAGGAATTAAGGTGCCAAGGTCTGCTGTAGCTTTTCCAAGGTTGGTGGCATTATAGGTGGCGGACTCCTCTGTCTTTTGCTTAGTTTGGGAAGAATGACACTGTTACTTACTGTACTTTAACCACAAACATAGAGGTAAAACCAGGAGGCGTAAAGTTAATCCCATATTCTTCAGAACCATCTTTATGTTAGCAGATATTTCTAAATTAACATACATTATGTTTTAAATTTTTTGTCAGTGGAAATTTATCATAGCAACTTGCCAGATTTTGAGGAACTTGGTGTCACAACTGTGTGGGAGACACGTACAGAGGTTTGTATAGGTCAGCCAGAAATCTGCAGGTCTTTTGATGGTTAATGTCTGATGTGTCACATCAGAGATGGAAGGGAAAACCTAATTATCACCTACCAGCCACTCATCTGTTCTTATCTATGATTGTGCTCAGAGAGTGATACACATCTGGTGTGTTAAGTGTCATTCACAGAGACTTGATTGCCATGCTGAATTTCTTTCTAGCTGTTCTGACTTGTGGTGAGATCCCTGGAGTGCCTCCTTGAGTCAGGCCTTCTTTAAGTATAGAAAGCTACAAGTGATGCTGAAAGGCTGGAGCACCCTTGAAATGAAGTCAGTTACTCTGTAATTGTAGCAGTGGCCAAGGTTGAAAGCCAGTAGATAAAATACTGACCCACAGGTTTTAGAAACAGCCTCATCTCTCTTTTTTTGATATGTTTACTATAATGTAAACTATGACAATAAGCACAAGTGAGCACTTTCCATACATTATAATTTTATTTCTGTTCCTTGATAAAGTGATCATTAATTATGATTTACTGTTGATGCAGTCTTTGAATGATTCAGTAATGTGAGGGCACTGTACCACAACAAAGAATCACAACAATGTTGTTTGTCAGCACACTTCTTTAAAAACACATAAAATTTTCATATTAAAAAAGTCAGGTTTAAGGATTAAATCACAATAATGCTTTTCCTTCTCCACTTCCTTGCTTCAAGCACTGGCCACTTTTCCTCTGCTTTTCTTCCTCTTTATTCACTCTTAACGTAGCCCATTTCTTCTCTTTCCAATTTTCCCCACCTCCTGCAAACTGCTGGCCCCTGTCCTCACCTGCAGAAGTTTCCCAGCTAGAGGAGTCTCTTAGGGGCAGCACAGACTCTGCTAACCAGGGCTGACTGGGCAGCTGAGTAATGGACTTGCACTAAGGAGGGACATTCAACTCTTAAGATCCCTCCCACACCTGTATTAGAGAAATGCATTGCAAGTTGAAGGCAAGAGGCATGAATCATGAGAGATAGGTTCCCTGTAGTTCCTTAAAAATTCCTTTTCTAAAACTTCCAAGCAGAGAAGCTAGTAAGTTGATAGTCTCTGTGTCCTTACTACCAGTATTTTCAGTTGCACCTCAAAATGTGGCAGGTTTCCTAATCTAATCAAGTGAAGCAGTGACTCTGTAACCACAGTCTTTGAGCTGCCGAAGGTCCTTGGGGCCATGGTAAGTGGGTCTCAGAGTATTATTAAACAGTCAAGTTTGACTGTTTTTTTGGGGTAGTACTTCTGCATAATCTTAAGGATTTATTAACGTCAGTTCTTTGGAAATTAAGGCTGTGAGGTAGAAAGCCAGGGAATTAAAATGGTAGAGAACTAAAATTACTTCTGATAAATACTAAGCGTTCCAAATATTGTATTTTCTTTAGCAAAAGTAACTTCTGAAAATCAAATGGCATATATGACCAGTATGAAATTTCTATACATAAAATGTCAAGACTTGAGAAAATGTTATCTTGTTACCGAGGACTAAATATTTCACATGTGGTGACTGACTAATCTCTCTTTATTGCAGTTTTTTCCTCGCTGTTGCCGTTACTGAGCCCCACGTTTCTCTTTCAGCGACTGTTCAGCATACTGCTCTCTCTGATGTCCACCTACCTTCTCCTCAGCACTGGGTACTTCTTTCTTACTCTGTTTGGATTGGTGTTACATATGAAAATCAAGTGCTAAATGTGATACTGCTTAAATCTCTTGAACATTTCTGTTAAAGGTGTAACATGTGCTTCCAGCTATGTAGTCTCACCGTTTATCTCCTTATTTAGTTTCCTAAACAAAATTTCAGAGGAACTTCCATATTCCTCCTTGTATTATAAACACTGTTTTGTTGACATTCCTTTCAGCTAGACCAAGCCTGTCTGGAAGGGTATGTATTCAAACAATCTTTCACCAAAGTAAGGAAGTCTGGTTTAGTTTATGTCTTTTGTTGTTTTGGCATGTGCTTTTCTGCTCACAAACAAAAGGAAATAACTTCTCTCCCAGCTGCTCAGCACTGGTGTCTAGTTATGGCATAAATGACGTGACAGGAAACAGGTAACCCTAAAATGGGGGAAAATTTTATTTACAGAGATTTTTGTGGAAGTAATTCTTTTCAAAGGGTTGGTAGTCCCCATAAAGTGTAGGGCTTGCTTCTTTTTGGATAAAAGACGGCTCCTCAAAGCTTGTAAATGAAGAAAACACTGTGTTAGCCAACCCTTTTTTTTCCAGACTCAGTAGCTCTTAAGAGCATAATTAATAGGGAATATAGGAACCATTCTTTCCGCCTCCCCTCCCGCTTGTCCTCTGCATTTAATTACACTGGAAAATTAAGTGGAATAAAATAGCTTGCAGTAGACATTTTGCAATAGCTGCCTTTTGTGGAAACTCTCATTTTAGATGAAACATCTCTTTTTTTCTTCTCCTTTCTCCCACTTCCCTGTTAAGGTTTTGATCCTAATCTTATTCCTGTCCACATATGCACTCTTACAGTCAACCTTTTGAGCCTGTCCTACCTACTGGTTGTTCTCTCTGAGGCTGGTAACCTCCCTCTTTATATTTTGGCCCTGCACCAGACCACTTAAACGCTGACAGCTCTCTGCTGTCTTCCAACAATGTTCAAATAGACCAACAAATTTTGGAACAAATCTTTTTCATTTAAAAACAAACGAACAAAACCCCCCCAAGTAATCATAGCAAAAACAAGGCACTCGATGCCAAAAGTATCCAGTGTTTCTCTCCTCAGTGCTCTGTTATACTGTGTAATGATAACCCAGTGCATTGCCCAGGTAATTATAGCACCTCTCTAAGTGCAGGTAAGTGGAAGTATTGAAGCCAACTGAAGAGCCTGGTTGCATACAACCAGTTGTCACTGACTCAGCTGAAGATGTTCAATTTGTAGGAAAGCATAGACCATTGTGAGGGTTGTGGGTGCTTTTGTTACTGGCAACCCAGCCATTGTCATCTTCATGTTTCAATGCTTGTCATTCTGATAATTAAAGCAGAAATGTCTGTCCAAAATTTTTTGTTCCAGCTTGAAACTGGCTGCCTGTGGGGAGCACAACAGAAACAGGACTAAGATTAACTGCAATGATTTTCTTACTTTTAGACAAATAAGTGTGTGTCCAAGGAGAAAAAACAATTAAAAGGAAAACATTTACGATCTTGTCAGTATTAGTGTCACAGTCAGTGTCAGTATTATAATTTCATCCTGAAAGAAAAAAACAAAAACTGAGAGGCACCATGAGGTGCAACTGAGAGTTAGAGGACAGAGAGAAACTAATGTTATCCAATGACAATCTGCACTGCTAAGTTATCTGGGAGTTTTAATCTCTCACATAAGTGCACTTATAGTTTGCTATGTTTGAGTGTTGTAGAAGGCAGAAATATTCCTCTGAGATGGGAGATGTAGCTAGAACAGCTTAGCAGCCTTGGGTAGAGCATGACTTGATGCTGCAATTGCGATAGATATGTATGTAATAAAAAAGGACATTTCAGTGAAATTTTTAAAATTTTTTTCAGTTTTGTTAAAATTAATCATGACACAAAGGGCACTCATCCAGTGTTGTGGCAGCCATCAAATAAGAAAATGGGTGCGAAACATGAGAAAGCTGAAGGAGCCTCCCTTTCTCCCTCTTTTACCATTTGCTTACTGTATGATGGCTTTAAACTTCAACCAGCTAACTGTGGCTACTCCTCAGAAATGAGGAGAGAAGAGGGAGAATGCCACTGGGTCTTTGGTTTATTATTTGTATGAAGAAAAAAAGAAAAGAAACAGTATTTGATGGTAAGTAGTTGTTAGTGACTGCACTTACCATGATTATTATGTTACTCCTCAGGTATGAAGCTCTGTTTCCATTGGTGCTGTCTGGTTTGATGTTTGTGTGGATAAATATGGAGCAAGAAGCACTGCAGCACTATGGTCTTTCACTCAAACCAAAGGTAACAGCTCCAGACAGCTGTATCAGGTTAATTATCAGCTTTATCTTTTTAAATCTTTTTTGTTGTTTAGGATATAATAAATATTCAGATTGATTTTTATAGAGCAACACTTTGCATTTCTTTAAGTTTGGGAAACCAGTATCAGCTCTTTTATGAAATAGGAATGTGACCTTGTAAGAGATTTATAATTTGTGTTATTAAAGATATTCCACATCAGAGCCATTTCTGGGAATGCAGGAAGTCTGACTTAGTGATATGTTCTGTAAGCTACAAAGCTCTGTTTGTCAAGTGCAGTGCTAATTCAGCATAAGGTACAGCAACACTTTATAGAGTAAGTACAGTGTCTAATTTTTTTTTTTTTTTAATTCTGATGGCAGAGTCACAAGTGAGAGGCTGAAAAGAAATAATTTGATTTCTGAAATAACCCATAGGAAATACAAGAAATCTTAGTTTGACTTTGTCCTTTCACTCTTTCTTCAAGGACGGAGTTTTATTTCTGATTAGACAGAAAAGGAGCCAGAAACTAACTTGTAACTAGCACCTTCCTGGATTTGCCTGGAGAGGGAGTTTTGTAATCAATGCAACTTCTTTTACCTTAAAATTTAGTATATTGTCAAGCATTTTCAAAGCCCATGCTGCTCACACTGCTATTTAAGCTTTTAGATTATGCCAAGGGTTTAACAAACTGTGGCTATGCCACTGATTTGATTAGATCCGAAGTGCTGTTTGCAGTGTTGTCTGGGTGCTTGGAGCCAGGCAGGTGTGCAGCATAGCTCTCCCCGCCTCTCTGAACCTGCCATCCTTGGTGCAAGCTATGGAGAATTGGGGTAAGGATGCTGGGAGTGGACAGAGTGTCTTGTTAAGAGAAGGTGGTACACAGCTTTGGTTCCTTTTGCAGCTCATAATAATTAGAGAAGTGCTGGGAGGTAAAATCTGAGCCAAGGCAGTTACCAGAACAGACCTGACATATACTGTGATTTTGTGGTTCTTCTCCAAGGGAGACAGTTTTAAAACTTGAGAAAGAACAAGCTTTGCCAATTCAAGGCTGAATAACAGAAGTGAAAACAGGAATTGCTTTTTCATTTATGCTGTGTGTAGTTATGATATTTTGTGTGAGCATGTTTTGTAGCATCTGAAGTGATAGAGGAGGAATCTGAATGTAAAAATGTACACTTAGCATGAGGCCATGATTGCAACTGCAGGTTTCTAGCACAGTAGTGTCATAGGTGGGATGTATTTTCTCTTCCACTCTAGAATCCGCTCAACCATTTGCATCTTGTAACAAGGCATCTGTGATGCTTGCCTTTCGGATGGTGGTCTTGATTGTTCTGTTTGTTTTAAAAGAAAATTCTGTTAAAGCATTATTAAACAGTGATGAACACCTTATTAGTCAAATGCAAATGAGAGCAACATAGGTAAGCTATAATTAAGTTTTCTGTTGTCACTCCCTGTATGTCATTTGACTTTTGGTTTCAAGAGAAGGGAACAAAAATGCTTACTCCTGCTTCTTGTTTTTAGGTTAGAAAAATCATCTCTAGAATGCTTGTTAATATATACCACAAAGTGATCTTGTATTAGAGAGACCAGCTCAGTTCTCTGATAATGTGAGATTATTTTTAATTAAAATGTTGTCCATGTTGGATGTCTATTACTTGAATTTTTTCTTTTCACCAGTGAAAAGGAGTTCATTGACCTCTTAAACTCCATGAAGACTTTTCAGGTCAAGTGATATTGTGCTGAGAACTGAGTGAAGGAGATGGAGAATATTTTAGTATTCTCACTGACAACATAAGTCAACTTAGGATAATTGCAGTCTTTTATTTCTGTGGGTCTTTATTCACATGTTCATGCAAGCAGTGGAAGTGCGTGTGTGTAGGAAGAATATTTATGATGAAAAAAATATGATGATAAGTCTAAGGCATAGAAGTTCATTTTTAGTGTAGATAACAGCGGAAGTTCCACTGTTCATTTGATCGCCTCACTTGTACAATCTTTCTGACAGGTTCATTAAAGTATAATGAGAATATGGGAGAGGTTTGCAGTTCTCATCATAATGCTCCTCTAATAACAGCTGATAGGGAAGTAGGTTTATTTCTCATTCATTTCAGTAAAAATATGATGGTTCTATCAAAGAACATAAGTTGATATTTGTTATTGATTCTTCTGCTGTCTTTCCAGCTTGCTGTTTTCAACTTTGCCTATGCTACTGATATCACTCAGTTTCGACAGCTCCACCTAGATGACGTCCGCAGGTCTTTCTTCTTTGTATCCTTTTGCTGGTTGCTGCATTCCAGGGAAAAGATGGGTTTTTTCCAAAAGGCCCCACAATCAAAATTTCTAACCTGGTAGCCACTGGAAACAGAAGCTGGTGAAGATTATTTGACTCATGTTGCTCAAAAGACAACATTGTACATGTACAATGTCTCGTACATTATGGTTTTTTATAAAGTAGTAAAAAATTCAGTATGAACTGCACTGTTCTGGAATCTGGCTTCTTGGCCACTTTGAAAAGTTTAGTGTCTTATGATCATTACAGTTGAGGTTAACTTTATCCTAAGAAGTCCTGTTTTCACTTTGGTTTTGTTTTATATTTTGTTGGAGGGAACTCATTCAACTTTCACAAGTCAGTTGGAAAAGATGATATTAAAGTTGTTCTCATTTTCTCATTTTTAGAGTATGGCAATGTGTTAGGAAGAAAATGTTAGGGGGCAGGCATTGGCTCTGGCCAGGCAGATGAGATGAGAAGGAAAATTCCTGCAGACTCTTAGTGAAACATGGCCTGGAATTATTTATAAACACATGGTTTCTGCTGTTAGAAATTATATGGGCTTGGGAGGGAGGAGCTGTTTGTTCACTAACATAGCAGTTATTTTGCATTAGTGTAACTGAAACTACAGATTTTTTTTTTAATTCTGTACAGATTTGATAAAACTGTCATTTTCTCTTCCATTATGGGACTGCAGTTAAGTGGGAGATATTTGGCAGCAAGGGTGATGGATGTGCAAGTGAGAGAGAAGTTATGAGCCAGTCTAGAACATAAAGGTTTCCAGTGCAGGTGGGTTATCATAGCTGGAGCTGAAGAGGGACGTCTCTCAACACAGGCTTTATAGTTCATAGAATAGCCAAATCTGAGAAGGTGGATTGCAGCCCATAGACAGCAGAGTCTATGCTGATGGAATCTGGGACAATGCTGTTGGGACACTGGGAACCTGCAGCGGAGGAAGTGTGACAGATACCTCATTAAGGTGGTTCAGTGCTAAGGAAGCAAAACCATTTGCTAGGTGTTGAATGTTTGTGTTTGTATACCTGAAAAGCAGCTGAGACACCTTGCAGTAAATTTTTTGATTTCATTTGCTATTTTGCTGTTTTAACAAAAAATAAACTAACTTTTAGGAAAGCTGCTGCTGTCTGTGAGATGCTAAAAATTAGATAAAACAACAATTAAACAATCCTATTGTATTTTTTTAAAGCTTCAGCATAGTACTAGTTTAATCTAACACTTGAATGTAGCACTAATTTAATGTCATCTTAATCTAAAACACTTGAATGTATTATGTTCCGCTCCTGAAAAAATAAACAATCTGCAGGTCTCCTTTGCAGAGAGCAGGTATGATACACACCTGCTCAAAAGATGTTGTGGCTTTTTAAATTCAGACGCTGTTTAATGTTTAGAAATAGTGGTATTAGAAGAGAAACCTTTTTTACTAGAGCAGTCACATTGCAACCATGACCCTGTGAGCTGTATATCTTAAGATTGTCTTAAGGTTCCTATATAAGGCCCAAAAGTCAGCATGTGCTGAGGGATCTTGTAGCCTGATCTTCCAAAAGCAGATTCAGATTGTTTATGCTTAGCATTTTGATTAGACCTATGTGCTACTGGTATTTTTTTGTTTTATTGCAGAACTCTTGTTCTTATAAATCTTAACTGGCAGAATGGCTCTATGCTGTCAGGCTGCTGTGTTACTAAACTTGAAATGATGAGATACTCTTGGGGAGCATAATTTCTTTAGTTATGCTGACCTAATCTTTCCAAAATATTGCATACAGAATCCCAACAATTGTGCTGAACAGTTGGTAGCAAATTGTTTCTGCAGAGACTTAAATGATCCAGTGCAGGAGCTGCAACAGGAGTAGAAGGAGCAGAGGGAGCTCTGGCAACAGCAGACATTGTCACTGAGTAACCCTCTCCCTGATGCAAAAAAAATCAGTTAAAAACCATTCTTTGACTGAAAAGATGTGAGCTATAATGGGCTCCAATGAACTCAGGAGGTAGAAAAATATCAGCAAGTGTTGTATCTAGATGACAAGGACAGGGTTTATACAATTTACAGCTATACAGATATTGCCAGATTTATCCTCCCTCCCTCAAGTAAAGAAAAAACTGGGAGTCCCATGTTGCAATGGATAGACTCAGCATAACCTTTGGACAACAAACCCTGTGTAGCAAAGGAACCTTTAGTCTTGTTTGATTGATCTCCTCCACGGTCAATTCCTTAATAAAGCCATCTCTTTTGATGTGCAGTACACATGCATATGTCATTACTTTCTGCAAAAGCATGTGTGTGTGAATGCACAGGTGGGATTGTGGTCCAGGGATCTTCCTGCCTTGCTAGGTAGGGGCCCAGAAAAAGGCTGCAGCTTTCTGGCAGGGACCTCAAAACAGGCTCTAAAATCTTACCCAGGCAGTCCCTGTCTTTTAAAATTGACAGTCATGTGTGAAATCTTGGGTAGAGCTAGACAGTTCTTTGGATTTCTTAATGCAGTGTAAAGCTGTAATAGTGGGTCAGCTTCTTCTAGTTTCATGATTGGAATGAAGGGGGGAAATGCTGGTTTTGTTTTACTGCAGCCATTTCTGTGCTATATTTTCCTCAAATACCTCTAGGTTTTCTTCATAGTGACAGCCTTTTTTGGTACTGGAAACATAGCTTCTGTTAACAGGTAAAATATATTCATTGATTTCAGACACAAGGTACAGAAATTCTTCCTGCCATTGGCATGCTAAATATAAATGTGCTTATCAAAATCAGGACAGCAGAATTAAAGCGATAGTCAGTGAAATAACAATTCATTTTGTTTTGGCTCTCTGTAACATGTTCCCTAAGAGCCTCAGTGTGTTGGTTACGAGGTTGTCTCAGTTTCCATTAGAAGTTATTGGCAGCGTGAGCCGAGAGAGCTCGGCTGCTCACCAACAGCTCAAAAGACATGAGCAGAGAAAAAATGTAGAGGAAGAAGAGTCAGGTAGGCTGTCCTTGCTAATCTAGTATTTGAGCAAGAGAAGAGAAAGTTGGAAGCCTTGTTTAAAAGTGTGTATACACACTGTGTGTTACAGGAGTAGCTAAATACTCTGTTTTTTAATGGAAAATGCCATTTTAAATATATGTTGTAATGTCTTTTTCATGTTTCTCTAGTTTTGATCCTGCTTCTGTCTATTGTTTCTTGACTGTATTCAGTCCCTTCATGATGGGAAGCTTGCTTGTGCTAAAGGTTAGTAATCTTACCATAGTGAAATTTTCTCAAAGAACTCTAATAAATAATATACTATGTGCACAGTTGTTACTTTGCAATTTACAAAAACATATATATGTGTTTGAGCTTCATTAGCCTTCTGAACCGTAGATGAAGCTTTCAGCTTTTGTAGTGTTTCTAGGGACAAATCCTTCTGTTTTCCTGAAGAGAGAAGCTAAAGTATATGGAAGTGTAATTTAACTGCTAAGATTGGTTTATTGTGTTAAAATGGAAATTTAAAATGTTGAAAAGACTTAAATTATTTAAAAAATTATAAGCTTTACCTGTAGTATAATATCTACAAAAACCTTGAGGATATTATGTATATTTTTACTAGCTTTATCTACCTTACATTAAGTACAGGCTTTGAATACTCTACTGATTAGGTTGTCATTTTACAATTAAAATTATTTTTTAATATTTTTTTAATAGTCTATCAAAAATTGGATTGCACTTGTTTGCTGGCAAGGTGTGGTAGCTCTTTTCTAATATTTGAGTAAAGGATCTGCCAGAAGGGTAAGAAGGCAAACAGGAAGGGAGACATGGAATTTATGGGTTATTGCTAAAACAAGCACTGTTTCCTGCCTCTGCCTTTCTGCTGCTTCTGTCCCAGAGAGAGCAGACTTAAGTCATAGGTATACTGTGTGTTATACTGCAGGACATAAGTCAATAATACAAACCTTTGGATGGAAGAGAACATGTTTTGGCAGTGCATTGACACTGCTAAGTTAAGGATTACAAGTCAACTTTGGGAAGAGCAAAAGGCAACATACATGTTTCTAACTTGTTTCTTTGTTTTGTTCTTAATTTACTGAACTGTTTACGTTTGTTTGACTTGGCTTTGGAGGGGCAATGTGATCCAAATACATTCTGTATTCAGATTTTTTTGAGGTTCAGATGAGACTGTCTTATTACGCTTGGAGCTCTACAGCCTGTCACATGATATATTGGATCTGAATAGTTCTGTCTTCTAGCCTTGTCGAAGTATTTTATCACTAGTGCTAAAATGGATAAATGAAATGAGGATCATTAATGTGTTTTAATTATAGTTTTCCATATTGCCTCATGGCTTATTTCACTGCAGTTCAGCTATGACCATGGAAGGGGTTTCTTTATTCATTTACTAAACCTGCTTCCTGCAAAATTAGTTTCTACCCTTTCTTGCCAATATTTTATTTTTGTAAATAATCACATTCTGTGATTATTTTCAAAAGTAAAAATGTTTCTACAGCCTGCCAGGTTGTTTTGTAAATATGGCTATAAACCAAAATGTAGCTTCTGTTTTAAACAGGTTGTAATCCCCTTTGTTCTGGTATCATGTGCTTTCGAAGCTGTTCAAGTCACAACACAACTATCTTCTAAGAGGTACAGTAAGTGCTATATTTCTGCATTAGTAAAGGTTTCAAATCTATTTTGCAATAATTCAGAATTGTCAAACCTCAATCTAAATTTAAAAAAAAAAAACAACAACAAAACAGAACAGTGTATCATATTGTTACTTTTATTTGTTATTATGTTTTGGGTTTTTGTTCAATGACTTTGCAAGCTCAGGAATTCTTTTCTAAGTGATAAATGAATATAAATGGAAGTGTTGGCCCTGTCTGAAACAATCAGATATTTAATATTCTTTGTTGACAATACCAGAAGGAGCACTTTTCCCCCATAATGTAGAAAAATGAGCAGAATTTAAACTCTGGTTTTTGGTTTATATTGCATCTTTGCCTACAGTACAGTATTTTAAAAATAACCCATTTATAACGTAAGCGATTTACAGCTTTGTAGCACTGACCTCACCACAAATAGGATTTAAAAAAAAAGGCGGCTGTATGCCCTTCCATTGCAGTTGATTATTACATATTTTTTGCAGTAGGACTAGATGGCTTCCAGTCCTTTCTCCATCTCTAAAGAGTTTTCAGAGAGGATGTGGGATGGGTGCCCAGCCTCACAGAGTGCTGCAGCTGGACTTGAACTACTCTCACCCTTTTCATTGTCTCAAGGTTTTTATTTTTTTAACTGTTAGCCCTCCCTACCCCTTTCAGTGCACCTGATGCACATTAACTGAATCCTCTGCTCTTCGGGTGGGATTACAAATGATGCTGAGGTGGAGGAGGTCCCTGTTAGCCACTTGGTTTTGAGATTGTCACCATGGGATATTGTGTGGGGTTGACTGAAAGTCTCACTGGGCAGTGACAGGGGACCACAGGGACTCTGTCCTGCGTGTTGCTTAGCTGAGCAGGAGGAAGCTGCTCTTGCTCAGTGTGGTGCCCTTTGCCTTTCTGTTTGTTTTTCTCCTGCCTGTGCCCTGCCTGTCGTCTCCTTATGCAATATCACCCAGTACTAACGAGGGACATGGCAGCCTGAAATCTGCCTTCTTGTTGGAGAGGAAGCACAGGGCTCACCATCTTTTTTACCTTCTCTGCCTTAGCTGTACATGCAGTGTACTTGGGCTGTCCCTGGACTCCCAAGAAAGGATATTCATCCTCCTCAGTAAGGCTTCTATAGAAGCAGGGCTGTGTTGAGGAATCAGGGTTGCTCAGAAGACTAGCTAGCGATTTCCAGTTCTAGGGCTCAGGCATCGTAAAGGTCAGCATTTCCTAATTCGTGCATGCTTGGCATAAGTGCTTGGCAGCACCAGTGATATTGCAAGCTTTTATGGAATGTGCATCTGAGTGTGTCAGAGTGGAAACCCTACCAGCTTCTTAAACCAGGGGACCTGAGTATGTCTGTGCTGCTTTATGAAGCTGTGGTTGTAACTCCAGCTGGTGTTTGTTCCAGTTTCATTTAGCTGTGCTCAGGTCACAATAGCGGTGATACTGCCCCAGCATCAGCCTGAGAACAAGGCAGGAACCACAAGATGTGCCCAGGATCCCTGGAGAGGTGGTGCTCTGATTGTCACCATGTCCTGAACTCTGTGCTGCACTCTATTGCTCTTCCTGCCCCTGCTAGATAAATTAAGCCATCACAGGGGACAATCTTGTCTTTGTAGTGTACAAACATGCCCTGAAATTAGTGTTGTCCTTCTGTTGTGAAAGGCTTCCTCCAGTTCAGAAGGGCAAAAAGTAGATTTTTGTTATTTGGATAAATTGTTTCTAAACTCCCCATTTATAAATTAAAGATTTTTTTTTATTTTATTTGCTGTTTGTGGGGAATGTTCTGTCATAATATGTTCCTGAAGCTTTCCTGTGAAAATAGCCCTCTAGTTGAGTGCCTTCTAGGCAAGATTGCAACATCCTATCTGAGCCATAGGTAAGTGGAGAGAAGCCTTTCAGTGTGTCCAAGATACAGTTGGTTTGTTGCATCCTTATTTACTAACGAAGCATAGCTGGTGTAGGCAATATCAGAAACTTCCTGATCAGGAGGTATTGGTATAGTTGTCCCTCCCATACAGGCTCCTGCAGTGCTACAGCCTTTGCCAAAAAAAGCTTCATGAATTTATGATGGCAGTACTGATAAATTAACTGTATTCTAGTTAAAGACTTCTCTGTTAATGGGTTGGCTTTTTGCAACATTGCTTCAGTGTCATTAACTTAGAAACTAGTTTTAACCAGTTATAGCAATTGCTTTCATGTAATTTAGGATTTACATAGTTTAATGAAAATAAGATTAGGTTAATGGGGGGAAAAATAGCTCTGTGTGCTCTCTTCTGGTTCGTTTTACTGGCTTCAGCCTACTTTCCAGAAGTATCCTGCCGCCTGGCAGAGGCTCATGGGTTTGGGAGCGTGCCACCAAAATGCTGGGCGTTCCCAGAGCAGCTTACGAGCACCTAGAGATCTGGAAGTGGAGTGAACACCTCCTTTAGGAGCCTCCTGCCCATCAGAGTGATTGTCAGGATGGACTGATGGGCTCAGGTATCTTGTCTGCCTGTGCCAAACAGCTTTGCTCACTCTTCAGTCCAGCCTGAAACGTCTAAATTGACTTTAATTGGCCTAACCAGCACATGAGCTCCCTGCATCAGGAATGGGCAGGTGCTGTTTGTAAGATGCTCTTGTTCTCCAGTAAACGTCTTGTGTTAGGATTTTCTGTTGCAAAATTGAAACTCTGTTAATGTGAAATGTCTTTTTCAAGCAGGGTGAGATTACAAATGCCAGATGTTCTAGCCATATATTTTAACTGTTCTCTAATAAATTGAAATGTATCTGATTGAAAGGCATGTGAAGGAAATAATATCTTAATTTCTTTGTGGGTGTTTTAATAAGCTTCAGAACATCTGTGGCCATGAATAAAAGTTGATGGTCTGTTTTTTTAATTCCTTTTTTTTTTCTTTGCAGCCTTTTCCTTATTGTTCTTGTGATTTCAGACATTATGGCTTTGGTAAGTTGTTGCACATTCTATTCAAATAAGATCAAGAAGCAGAGAACTCTCCTAACTCCATCTAGAGAGATCTGAATTTGTTTCATACTTCAAAGTTTTTGTAACTAGGGCAGTGAATTGGATTGAAATCCCAGCATAATTTAGAGATAAAACTCCTCCAGTCACTGCTCTTTGAATTTCATGTAATTAATGTTTCTGAAGAAGCAATATTCTCATAATAATGAGACAAAAATGAAGTAATAAGTTATCATTCTGAGTTATTCATGTGCTTTTCAATCATATTCTTAGGAAGAATTTAAATAAATAAGAATTTAAATAAGAGTATTGGGTTTAGCTGTGTGCAGGATTTAGTTAATTTTTCAGGAATTTTGAACCTTTAACTTACCCCACCTTCACTTGAAAAAGAGAGAAAATGAGAAAGGTGTTACCCATCAGCTCTGTTGGTTGTCAGAACACAAATCAGTAACATCCAAAAAGACACTTTGTGCCCTTTGTAATAAGCTGTTAGGAAATGCTAGCTTCAGAAGGCTTGTGTTCATAAACCAGGCTAGCTAAAACAACCCAAAGCTGAACAATATCCCAACATAAATTTTACAGATCTGTGGATCTCACCTGAGAGGAAAAACAGCAAGTAAAGAAACAAATAACGACTAATTTGTCTGTAGCATGAGAAATGGAGAAGGTATAGTTTTGTGTAGTTTCAAATAAATCAGTGTGACTAATCTGATTTTGGAGAACTTCCACAGGAAAAGGATTAAAATATCAGTAAACCACACTCATAGTATTTCACTAATAAAATCAGTCTAACCAGACCAAAAGAAGAGTGTAAGCATGTACTGGCGTGTAGCAAGCCCCAGTGTATCCAGGTCTCGTATCTCGAATATCCTCCTATTTTGCTTTAACTATTTTAAAACAATTAGCACATATATACCTGGTGTACAAAACAAAGTATGACCAAAGAGGTTTGATATGCAGGAGCTGTGTGTATATCAAGAAATGAGAAAGTTGGCAGGGAAAAAAAAAAAAGAGAGAGAAGTGATTTGTGGTCTTGAATCAATGTGACCACCAGCTAGAATTTGAGGGATTTGCTAACAGACAAGTGTTGTCTTCTTGCAACATTATTCCCATTTTACAGATGGGGAACTGCCAGAGCTGCCCACAGAAATTTGTGGTGGAATTCTGTGAAAACAAAATTCAGCCTTCTTCATGGCAGTAGGCATTATTTGTGATCCTGTTATTTCAAGCAATAAGGTGGCTTGGCTCTTCTTATTGAAAAAGTTCTCTGCTGATAATCTTCTGTTTCTTGCAAGCCCAACTTGACAGAACTTTAGCTGTTTGCATTTGATACCATGTTAAATCTGTTTCTGGCTCCTAGACTATTCTTTACTTTGGTCCAAAGGAGCATTCGTGGTAAGCTTTTGCCCTTGTTCTACTTGAAGAATTAGAAACTTGGAGTAAACAGCCTGAAAGCAAGGTTTTTAACTTTGCGTTTCAAATTGTTCAGTGTTGTACTAATCAAAGTTGTTTTATTTCCTAGCATTTTTTCTTTTTGGTTAAAGATTATGGAAGCTGGCTGGATATTGGAACAAGGTACAGTATTTTTTTGCCTCCACTGCATTTTTAAAAGGTTCATAGGTTAATATTGTTGTTTATCTACTCAGAACTCTTGTAATTTTTTCCAATTACTCTCCTTAATCAAATGCTTCCCCATACTTAAAACGTGTGTGCACGCATGTGTGCACACATATATATGTACGTATATCCCAAGCTAAAACTTGTGTCTTAAAATCTGTTCCAGAGCAACATGGAGTGAGTAATGAATATAGCACGGCGAGAAATACAGTTAGTAGGATTTCTTTGATTTCTAAAGAACAACAATTACACACACACACACAAAAATTACTGTTTTGTATTTTAATTAGTTGTAATCACTGTTAAAATCACAATTTATCAAAATTGTTAATTGTCTTGAATATAGTTAAGCTTCCATATACAATCCCCTGTGAATTAATGAACCTTGTGCGAATATGTTTGTGGCTGCCAAGACCCATGCATTTATCCTCCCCCTAGTTAGGGAAGAGTAAATCTATAGCATTTAAACATAGAAATCAGAGCTAAAACGAGATGATTTGTTTTGCTTTGAGTCGTACTAGCTTCCACACATACATCATGAGATATCTTTTCAACTGCGCAGTCTTATTTGTGAATAGTCCAGAAATAACAAATACAAGGAATACACCTTTCAGATTTACCTTCCCTGAGTTGTGGAAATAGATAATATGCTGTAATAAGCTTAGTAGGGAATGTGTTGTTAATAATCCAGCCAATCTGGTCACTTGACACTGTTATTTAAACAGAAGTTGAATAGTGACCCATTGTTAATATTCTGTTTAGTCTACACTTACTCTGTGCTTTGCTGAGCCCCAATGTTCCCTCCAGCTCATGGGTGCGTGTATGTACGTGCGCACACATGTTCTGCCTCTTTTCTTTGGAGGTTCAAATTCCTGCTTGTAGCTACCTTTTGAAGGTTCCTAATGGGAGGAGATACAGTTAGATCAAATATTGGAAACAATGCTTTAACATCACACTTCCTTGCTATGGTCAGTTTATGGTAAATCAGATAGCCTCATCCTTTGGTTTGAATTCCTGTGCAGATTAATAAGGATATTTGACAGGCTGAAAGAGTTGGGGCTGTTCAGCCTGGAAAAGAGAAGGCTCCAGGGAGATCTTATAGCGGCCTTCCAGTACCTGAAGGGGGCTACAAGAAAGCTGGGGAGGGACTTTTCATAAGGGCAACTAATGACAAGACAAGGGGAAATGGCTTTAAGCTGAAAGAGGGGAGGTTTAGATTAGATATTAGGAAGAAGTTCTTCACTGTGAGGGTGGTCAGACACTGGAACAGGTTGCCCAAGGAAGTTGTAGATGCCCCCTCCCTGGAAGTGTTCAAGGCCAGGCTGGATGAGGCTTTGAGCAACCTGGTCTAGTGGAAGGTGTCCCTGCTGATGGCAGGGGGGGTGGAACTAGATGATCTTTAAGGTCCCTTCCCACCCAAACCATTCTATGATTCTATGATTTATGACCTCAGAAAAGCTCTGTTCTGCTGGGCAAGAAGTTTTCTAATTGGGAGTTAGCAAGCAAAAATATAAATTGTTACAAGTACCTTAAAACTTCCTCTCTGATATATGGTCTTCATAGCATAGAGATTAACAACGATGATAGATTGTTGGATCCATTTCAGCTGGAAGTTTACCTTATTCCAAAGAGTTTAGAGGAACTCATTATGCACATCTGTAATTCTGCCTTTCTGTGTGGTGTTTTGAGCACTGAAGAAAGCACTGAAAAAGTCCTTTCAAAAGAGTACTTTGTAATTATTTTTTTTTAATGTGGTAATGCATAATGCTCAGGCAGCCTTAAATTTGCCATTACTTCACTTTTGAGTGCTTGAATTTGCCACCTACATTATTTTATTGTAGTCTCTTTATATGTGATATGTGTGTATGTGCACAGAAGATAAAAATAACTAAGTTGCATAAGAGGTGAAGCCATAGGCGTGGAACTGAAGTGGTCCTTCTTTTGCCTAGAAGCAGGTATTTTGGCACCTGAACCTCCTCTGCTGAGTGGATTTCTAACGTGTGATCCTCAAGCTTGGCAAAATTAGCAGGCAACAGCAGAAGGTTTTATTTTTTGCTCCTGAAAGGGAAGATGAGCTTCATGGGATTTTGGGCAATTCCCAAAAACAGTGGGAGGGAGATACTAACATGGCTTTTTCCTGTCCTCCTGTTACAACTGCAGTGACAGCTCTGTGGCATTCCCATTTCAGTGTTGTCTGTTGTTGCTTTAACAGCAGGGTCTGAAAATATCCCATCACAGCTGACATTTTAGGTATTGCCAAAATTTTCCCAAGAAGGCTGAGTCAGTTAAGGAAATGACAGTTCTTTTTTTTCCAGCTCTTTGTATCTCAACAAAACCTGTGTAGGATTTCATGGAACAAAGAACAGGAGTACCCTTAGGGACAGCTGCTCTCATCTTTCTTGGTTTTTTTTTCCTTCCCCCCCTTTTTTTATGGCCCTGATAAGACGTGTGTGTGTGTGTGTGTGCAATTATCAGGGTTCATTTTATATTACTAGTTATCACGTCATTGAAATCACAGGTGGAAAAACAACAATTTAATTGCCCACTGAAGATTCATTCCTCTAAAGTTGGTCAGAGTCCAGTGGTATATATGCCACATTTGCAAAGCTTCTGATGTATATTTTCATACCCATGGGTTTTTTTTTTTTGTGGTGGTAGCTTTCTATGGACTTTCTAATTACCGTGCTTCAAAACTTTTGTATGTCTTTTCTCTTACTAAGAATGTGCAAGTTCAGTAGGAGACCCTCATGAGGCAATACTTGGGTTTTCCAATACCAGTGCTCAGACGTTTCATGTATAAAAGCTGATTTTAAATCCCATGCAATAAAAAGACCTCCTTCACTGCTTTTTTTATGATGATGTTTTGTCTCCTAGTGGATGTTTCATCGGAAGTAGGGCTTGTTTACTGAACTAACATATTTCTTTTTTCTTTTCTCTTTTCTTTTCTTTTCTTTTCTTTTCTTTTCTTTTCTTTTCTTTTCTTTT